GAATCGGGAAGGGGCTCAGCAGAGCCAGTTTTTGGATTTTCCCGCGGTGGTGCCGCAAGGCTTTACTCGCAGTTTTCGGCTCATTTGTTGGTCTTTTTGCTCTGATTTAGCCATGGAGGTGTTCAAAATAAAATTTCAAGCAAATGAGAAAATTTTTACCTTTTTTTAGCGGTCAAAGGTGGTTTCGGCACGGCGGCGGGCGGCGGTCAGCTCCCTTCTCCGACGACTGGTTCTTCTTCTCCAGTGGGGGATTGGCAGCTAGGGTTAGAGTTCGGTGTGAAGTGAGATATTTATACCTGTCTCCCTTTAATCTAGATCGTTCATCGCGTTTAATCTTGACCGTTCGATCACGTTTAAAGAGAAAATGAATATAAACTGTTCATTGCGATTTGATTTTGACCGTACGATCGCGTTTAAAGAGGGAACAGATTTGGATCATTCATCATGTTTAATCGCGACTATCCGATCGTGCCTGAGGATAGAACAGATCTGACCGTCCACGCATGCGAGAACAAATCTGAATCGTCTAATTGTGGGCACACAGATTACCAGCGTGACATCCCGCGTGGCACTGAGTCGGCATGCCTTGCCACATGGCGTGCTCCAGTTCGTCGGGACCACTGACTGGGCGGTCCTACGTGGCACATTTTTTCTAAATTATATTTTGATCTCAGTTTCTGATTTTTCTTTCAAAAAATCACTCGAACCCAAATTTTCACCCATTTTTCTCAAAATTATTTTCAATTTCATCATTCACTTATTTTTTCTTAATTTTTACATTAAATAAAAATTTATAAATTTAAAAATTATTTTTTTATATATTAATTTCAATTTTTAAAGTTAATCCAATGTCAAATTTTGGACTCGGGTATTACACCTCGTCTGGTATAAAGGTGAACCATATCTCCCAAACTTTACTAGTAAGGGACTTTCCAACCCCGTTCGACTGAAATATATTCACCAGTAGGGTTCTCTATGCACTGGATCCGTTCGCCCTTTCCCGGGTACCCAGTAAATCTTTCCCATACAAATTTCATTAGTATA